ATTATATCATTAAATGGGTGGTCAGGTTAGACACCAGTGAGAAAGAGAGATCTAAACAGATAATTTTTTTTTTTTTTTTTTTGAGAAAAGAGTCTCAAAAAAAGAGATGGAGTCTCACTCTGTCACCCAGGCTGGAGTTCAGTGGTGAAATCTTGCCTCACTGGACAAGGTTTCATCTCCACGTTCAAGCTATTCTCCTGCCTCAAACTTCCGAGTAGCTGAAACTACAGACGTGTGCCACCACGCCTGGCTAATTTTTATATTTTTAGTAGACAGGGTTTCACCATGTTTGCCAGGCTGGTCTTGAATCCCTGACCTCAGGTGATCCATCTACCTTGGCCTCCCAAAGTGCTGGGTTTACAGTGTAATATCTTTTATAATAAATTTGTAAGCGTAAGCGTCTCCCTGAGTTCTATCAGCCACTCTAGCAAATTAAATCCAAGGAGCAGGGAATGGGAACCCTGATTTATAGCCAGTCACTCAGAAGCACAGGTAAAACAACCTGAGGCCTACAGTTGGCATCAGAAGTCAGGGGCAGCCGTGTGGGACTGAGCCCTCAACCTGGGGATCTGACACTGTCTCCAGGTAGATGGTATTAGAATAGAACTGGAAGACACTCAGCTGGTGTTCTCTGCAGAACTGATTGCTTTCTTGGTGTGTAGGGAGAAAGTCCCATACACTGATGTGCAAATAGAGGAAAACCAGTTTGCTTTTTCTACACAATGCTATAACATGGGTGAACCTTGAAAAGATGATGCTAAATGAAATAAGTCGGAGAAAGCTATCTGTATGTTTCCACTTATATGAGGTACCTAGAATAAGTAAATTCATAGAGACAGAGAGTTGATTAGAGGTATCAGTGGGTAACTTATTCCTAGGGAGAGGGGAAAATGGGAATTTTTACTTAATGGTTACAAATTGTCTTTGTGCTACTATAACAGAATACGTGAGACTGGGTAATTTATAAAGAACACAGAGGCCGGGCGCGGTGGCTCAAGCCTGTAATCCCAGCACTTTGGGAGGCCGAGACGGGCGGATCACGAGGTCAGGAGATCGAGACCATCCTGGCTAACACAGTGAAACCCCATCTCTACTAAAAAAATACAAAAAAATAGCCGGGCGAGGTGGCGGGCGCCTGTAGTCCCAGCTACTCGGGAGGCTGAGGCAGGAGAATGGCGCAAACCTGGGAGGCGGAGCTTGCAGTGAGCTGAGATCCGGCTACTGCACTCCAGCGTGGGCGACAGCGCGAGACTCCGTCTCAAAAAAAAAAAAAAAAAAAAAGAACACGGATTTATTTATCTAACGGTTCTGGAGCCTGGGAAGTCCAAGATTCAGGCACTAGCATGTGCTGAGGGTTGCTTTCTGCTTCCACGCTGGAGCCTCGGATGCATCCTCCAGAGGGGAGGAACACTTTGTGCTCAGGAGGCAGAGGAAGGAAGGACAAAAGGGAGAAACACCTTTCATCAAGTCCTTTTTTTTTTTTTTTGAGATGGAGTCTCCTCTGTCACCCAGGCTGGAGTGCAGTGGCGTGATCATGGCTCATTGTAGCCTCAGCCTCTGGGGCTCAAATGATTCTCCCAACTCAGCCTACTGAGTAGCCTACCTACCACCCCACCTGGCTAATTTTTTTTTTTTTTTTTGAGACCGAGTTTATCTCTTGTTGCCTTGGCCGGACTGCAATGGTGCGATCTCGGCTCACTGCAACCTCTGCCTCTGGGATCAAGCAATTCTCCTGCCTCAGCCTCCCGAGAAAACTGGGATTACAGGCACCTGTCACCATGCCCAGCTAATTTTTTTTTTTTTTTTTTTGAGATGGAGTTTCACTCTTGTTGTCCAGGTTGGAGTGCAATGGTGCGATCTGGGCTCACCACAACCGCCACCTACCAGGTTCAAGCGATTCTCCTGCCTCAGCCTCCCAAATAGTTGGGATTATAGGCATGCACCACCACACCCAGCTATTTTTGTATTTGTAGTAGAGACGGGGTTTCTGCATGTTGGTTAGACTGGTCTTGAACTCCCGACCTCAGGCGATCTGCCCACCTCGGCCTCCCAAAGTGCTGGAATTATAGGCGTGAGCCACCACACCAGGCCCACACCCAGCTAATTTTTGTATTTATTTATTTATTTATTTATTTATTTATGAGATAGAGTCTTGCTCTGTTACCCTGGCTGGAGTGCAGTCTCTTGATCTTGGCTCACTGCAACCTCCGCTCTGGGGTTCAAGTGATTGTCCTGCCTCAGCCTCCTGAGTAGGAGGGATTACAGGAGGGCGCCACCACACCCGACAGATTTTTGTATTTTTAGTAGAGACGGGGTTTCGCCATGTTGGCCAGGCAGCTCTGGAACCCCGGACCTCAGGTGTTCCGCCCGTCTTGGCCTCCCAAAGTGCTGGGATTACAAGGGTGAGCCACCATGCCTGGCCTAATTTTTGTGTTTTTAATAGAGATGGGGTTTTGCCATGTTGGCCAGGCTGGTCTCAACTCCTCACCTCACGTGATCCGCCCACCTCGGCCTCTCAGAGTGCTGGGATTACAGGCATGAGCCACCGCGCCTGGCCCACACCTGGCTAATTTTTGTTTGTTTGCTTGTTTTTTAGAAATGGGGTTTTGCCACATTGCCCAGGCTGGTCTCAAACTCCTGAGCTCAAGCAATCTGCCTGCCTCAGCCTCCCAAAGTGCTGGGATTACAGGCATGAGACACCATGCTTGGCTGGTTTTATCACAGTTTTAAAAAATTAATAATATAGTAGGCCGAGTAAACAAAAAAACATAGAATTGTACACTTTAGATGGGTGAATTGTATGGTATGTGAATTATATCTCAATAAAGCTGTTTCAGAAAGTTGTGGGTTTTTTTTTTTTATTTTGAGACAGGGTCTCACTGTGTTGCCCAGACTAGAGTGCAGTGGAGTGACCTCAGCTCACTGCAACCTCCGCCTCCCAGGCTCAAGCGATTCTGGTGCCTCAGCCTATGTTTCAGAAAGTTTTTAATTTGGATTAAGTTCAATGTGTCACTTTTTCCTTTTATGAATTATGCTTTAGGTATAAAGAACTCTTTGTATAACATTAGATCCTTAAGATATCCTTCTGTTTTTTCCCGAAAGTTTTATAGTTTTTACATTTTACATTTAAGTTTGTAACTCATTTGGAGTTAATTTTTGTATATGGGTTTTTGGGGTTTTGTGTTTTTGTCTATGGATGTCTAATTACTCTAACACCACCTGTTGAAAAGCACCACTGAATTGCCTTTGGTTTTTTTGTTTTGTTTTGTTTGTTTGTTTTTGAGTATAGTGACACCTTGCTGAACCTTCCAGGAGTTTTTTGGAAAAATCAATTACATTTCAATACACTAACAATGGACAGGTGAACACTGAAATGAAAAATATAATATGTGTCAGGCATGGTGTTGCACACCTGTAATCCTAGCACTTTGGGAGGCCGAGGCGGGCAGATCGCTTGAGATCAGGAGTTTGAGACCAGCCTGACCAACATGGTGCTGGGATTATAGGCGTAAGCCATTGTACCTGGCCTAGTTTTTTTAAAAATACTTTCCATCAGATAAAGAAGTTCTATTCTATTGTTTTTAATTTCAGTTAATATATTTTAAATTTCTTTTTATTTTATTTTTTATTTTTGTAGATAGAGATGGGGTCTCACTCTGCTGACCAGGTTGGTCTCGAACTCCTTCCCCATCTCTACTAAAAATACAAAAATTGGCCGGGCGTGGTGGCTCACTCCTGTAATCCCAACATTTTGGGAGGCCAAGGTGGGCGGATCACGTGAGGTCAGGAGTTCAAGACTAGCCTGGCCAACAGGCAAAACTCCATCTCTACTGAAAATGCAAAAATTAGCCAGGCGTGGCGGCACATGCCTGTAGTCTCAGCTACTTGGGAAGCACAAGAATTGCGAGAACCCAGGAGATGGAGGTTGCAGTGAGTTGAGATCACCCCAGTGCCCTGTAGCCTGGCTAAACTGTCTCAAAAAAAGAAAGAAAGAAAGAAAGAAAGAAAAATATGATTTACAATCTCTCAAAATAAGAAAAAGGAAATATGTAAGTGTAAATCTAATAAAATATGTATAGGACTTCTATGCTGAAAACTACACAACGCTAATGAAAGAAATCAAAGACCTGTATAAATGGAGAGACATACTACGTTCATGGATCAGAAGACTCACTATAGTTAAGATACTAATTCTCCCCCAAATTGTTATAGAAGTTTAATTAAATGTCTATTAAAATCCCAGCAAGTTTTTTTGTTTGTTTTGTTTTTATTTTTTAAATTTATTTATTTATATATTTATTTATTTATTTATTTATTTTTAGATGGAGTTTCCCTCTGTCACCCAGACTAGAGTACAGTGGCATGATCTCAGCTCACTACAACCTCCACCTCTTGGGTTCAGGCAGTTCTCCTGCCTCAGCCTCCTGAGTAGCTAGGATTACAGGCAAATGCCACCACACCCAGCTAATTTTTGTATTTTTAGTAGAGACAGGGTTTCACCATGTTGGCCAGGCTGATCTTGAACTCCTGACCTTGTGATCTGCCCACCTCAGCCTCCCAAAGTGCTGGGATTACAGGTGTGAGCCATTGCGCCCAGCCTTGTTTTTGTTTTTTAGACAGAGTATTGCTCTGTTGCCCAGGCTGGAGTGCAGTGGTGTGATGTTGGCTAACTGCAACTTCCGCCTCCCGGGTTTAAGCAATTCTCCTGCCTCAGCCTTCCAAGTAACTGGGATTACAAGCGTACACCACCACGCCTGGCTAATTTTTGTATTTTTAGTAGAGACAGGGTTTTGCCATGTTCCAGTGGATACAAAATTATATATATATATGGGCATGGTGACTCATGCTTGTAATTCCAGCACTTTGGAAGGCCAAGACAGGAAGATCACTTGAGACCAGGAGTCACCATGCCCATATATATATATAATTTCGTATCCACTGGACTTTTTTTTCTTTAGGGTTCTATCCCAATCAGTCACTTAAAAACCAAGTAACACAGACCTGAGGGGTGGGAGGTGGGGACTCATTGTGCACAGCAGTGGAGAAGAGGGAGGGGCAGGAGAGGTGGGTGATGCCAGGCAGCAGCAGCAGTGATGGGGCCACGACGTCACAGAGCAAGCTTCGTCTTCTCCCAGACCCTGGCTGGAGCCTCTGTGGCTTGGGGTGGGCAGTGGGGAGAACCCACCCCACGCCCTCCCCATCCCTTCCCCAGACAGTCTCCTTGTGGGCTCAACCCATGTCTTCTGACAGGAGCCTGAGGCACACGGAGAGGAGGAAGTGGAAGAGGACACGGGAGAGGCAGGGTGGTGGCAGGAATGAAGACAGAGGTGGGAGGCTGACCAGGGCCACTCCACCCCATGCCCACCCCAGAGAGGGGCGAGGAAGCCACCATCACGCAGCGTGTCCCGGGGACCAGGCGGGGTTTAAGGCTGGGGCTGGGGTGGGCAGAGGCCTCAGTCAAAGCCGTTCCAGTGGCTGTGCTGCAAGTCTTATTCCAGTGTTGCGCGCGAGCCCTTGACACCATCCCGCAGGTGGGCACGCAGTGGTGTCCGCCTCTGGCGCCTGCCTGAACCACCATGCGCACAGAGGCGCCGGCGCCACCTTCGCGGGCTGGCAGCATCTCTGCTTTGAGGATGCCCTCTCTGTGCGCCAAGTACTCACACTTGACACTGTAACCTTCAGGGACAGGTACGACGCTGAGGAGCTTGACATGCAGAGGTTGGGGACAGGTGCCTCGCGGATGTCCTTGCTCAGCCTGCGCACTGGGCGGGGGCAGAGCGAAGGTAATCTCATATCTGCGCAGGATCTTCAGGAGGCCAACCTTGACCAGAAAGCTGCTGTCGCTGTCCTGGGTGACCATGATCATGAAGCTTCTCATCAAAACAGACGTGGCTCTGGGAGTGTTACAGGCCGAGAAAATGGGGGTTGTGACCAACTCAGTATACCACTGGAGTCTATATGAGTAAACGGTAAACTGTTCTCATGAAAGCAGGGTGTTGGCATCTGCCCCGGGGGGGAGTGCTGAGGGCCGTCGGGCCCCAAGTGCAGTGTTCCTTGTGATTACCTATAAGAACATCTGGGCCGGGCGCGGTGGCTCACGCCTGTAATCCCAGCACTTGGGAGGCCGAGGCGGGCGGATCACAAGGTCAGGAGATCGAGACCATGGTGAAACCCGCTCTACTAAAATACAAAAAAAATGAGCCGGGCGGTGGCGGGCACCTGTAGTTCCAGCTACTCGGGAGGCTGAGGCAGGAGAATGGTGTGAACCCGGGAGGCGGAGCTTGCAGTGAGCCAGGATAGCGCCACTGCACTCCAGCTTGGGCAACAGAGCGAGACTCCGTCTCAAAAAAAAAAAAAAAAAAAAAAAGAACATCTGAAGCCTGTTGTACAAAGAAAGAAATTATGTGTACCTGTGATAAATCAAGCAAGTGACCAACAGTTACCTCTCCCTCCCTGCTCTTCCTACCTAATAAATACAAAGGGCTGTGGAAGCTCAGGGCTGCCCTTGTTCACTAGAAGCAAGGAGCCTCCTGACTCCTTTCTTTTTTTTTTTTTTTTTTTTTTGAGACGCAGTCTTGCTCTGTCGCCCAGGCTGGAGTGCAGTGGCCGGATCTCAGCTCACTGCAAGCTCCGCCTCCCGGGTTCACGCCATTCTCCTGCCTCAGCCTCCCGAGTAGCTGGGACTACAGGCGCCCGCCACCTCGCCCGGCTAGTTTTTTGTATTTTTTTAGTAGAGACGGGGTTTCACCGTGTTAGCCAGGATGGTCTCGATCTCCTGACCTCGTGATCCACCCGTCTCGGCCTCCCAAAGTGCTGGGATTATAGGCTTGAGCCACCGCGCCCGGCCCTGACTCCTTTCAAAATAGATATTTTTATCTTTGTCTTCATTTCTGCATTCATCCCCCTTCGTTCACACCCGCAGCAACCGACAGCAACATGGGAGCCCTCTGTATCATGGTCTGCCACAAAGCAGAGCGGATACTCCTCTGGACCCCGGGCTTGTTGCCCTTGTTGGCTGCAGCCATGGACGCCCTCCCTGCCACCCAGCTCCTGCCAGACACCGCCACTCACACTCAGCAGCCTCCCATGTTCCAGGGAAACCAGAAGGAGCCTTGCAGGGTGCACCCAGGGCCGGGCAGGGCAGGGATGACCCAGGCTCAGCTGCAGGAGCTCTATGCCAAGCACGAGGAAGAACCAGCCCATATTTTTAATTTTTTTTTTTTTTTGAGATGGAGTCTCTCACTGTCGCCCAGGCTGGAGTGCAGTGGCGGAATCTCAGCTCACTGCAAGCTTCGCCTCCTGGGTTCACACCATTCTCCTGCCTCAGCCTCCCGAACAACTGGGACCACAGACGCCTGCCACCACGCCCGGCTAATTTTTTGTATTATTATTATTATTATTAATTTTTGAGATGGAGTCTCACTCTGTCGCCCAAGCTAGAGTGCAGTGGTGCGATCTCGGCTCACTGCAAGCTCCATCTCCTGGGTTCACGCCATTCTCCTGCCTCAGCCTCCTGAGTAGCTGGTACTACAGGTGCCCGCCACAACGCCCGGCTAATTTTTTTGTATTTTTAGTAAAGATGGGATTTCACCGTGTTAGCCAGGATGGTCTCGATCTCCTGACCTTGTGATCTGCCTGCCTTGGCCTCCCAAAGTACTGGGATTACAGGTGTGAGCCACCACACCTGGCCATTTTTTGTATTTTTAGTAGAGATGGGGTTTCACTGTGTTAGCCAGGATGGTCTCGATCTCCTGACCTTGTGATCCACCCACCTCGGCCTCCCAAAGTGCTGGGATTACAGGCGTGAGCCATCTCACCCAGCCCTAATTTTGTTTCTTTTTTTTTTTTTGAGATGGAGCTTTGCTCTTGTCGCTCAGGCTGGTGCACAGTGGTGCAATCTCAGCTCACTGCAGCCTCTACCTCCTGGGCTCAAGTGATCCTCCCACTCAGCTTCCCAAGTAGCTGGGACTATAGGCACACTCCACCCCGTCCAGCTAATTTTTGTATTTTTTGTTAGAGAAGGGGTTTCGCCATGTTGCCCAGGCTGGTCTCAAACTCCTGAGCTCAAGGGATCCACCCACTTGGGCCTCCCAAAGTTCTGGGATCACAGGTGTGAGCCACTGGGCCCAGCCTTGAATGGGTTTAATTTTTTTTTTTTTTTTTTTTGAGACTGAGTCTTGCTCTGTTGCCCAGGCTGGAGTGCAATGGCGAGATCTCAGCTCACTGAAACCTCTTTCTCCTGGGTTCACCTCGGCCTCCCAAAGTGCTGGGATTACAGGCATGTGCCACCACGCCTGGCTAATTTTTGTATTTTTAGTAGAGATGGGGTTTCTCCATGTTGGCCAGGATAGTCTCAAGCTCTTGACCTCGTGATCCGCCCACCTCAGACTCCCAAAGTGCTGGGATTACAGGCGTGAGCCACCTCGCCCGGCCTTTTTATTTTTTCTTATGTTAAATAAACAACAAAGAACTGTGAAATAAAATATATAGCAATACAAGGAAAAACATGAGAACAGTTTTATTGGAAATATTCTAACACATTTTGTGAACAAGTAATCAAAAAATAAATAAGGACATAGAAGATATGAACATATACATTTCTTACCCTGAAAACAAACAGTACACCTTCTTTTCAAGTTTCATGGACAGTGGACAAAAGTAAATAATTATTAAGCTACAGAGTATTTTGGTAAATTTTGAAAAGTAGAAATTCTAGAAACCATTCTCAGATCAAAATGCAATACAACTAACAATAATGTAAAACACACCACTTAGAAATTTTGAAATGTAAGTAGCATCTCAAATTATCTTTAGGACAAGATGTAAATCAAGAATTAAAAAAATTAAAAAACAGACTATTTAGAAAATAATTTAAAAAGTAGGATTAACAGGCAAAGCTATATGCAGAGGTAAAAACAGCATTAAATGCTTTTAGTGTCAAAAAGAGAAAACAAACAAATTAAGCATGCATGCAAGTTGAGGTTTTGGAAAGTAGTATAAAAACAGTCCCCCCAAAAATGGGAGAAAGGGAATATTTGAAATAGAAAACAGAAAAAACAAACACTCAGAGGCCTGAGAGGCGGTGGGATGAGCTTTCTGCCTGTGGACAGAGACACACTTGGCGGCATCCCTGGGGGCTTGGTCCCCTGGCGTGTGTCATCAGGCCTGTCCCCTCTCACTCCTCGACTCCTCCTGGTGTCCTCTCCTGCTCCCAGGGCTGAAGCTCCTGTGTCTATGTCATCACCGCATCTTGGAACATCCTGTGCCTCGATTGTGGCACTCTACAGGTTGCTCTACAACTAATTCTTTTCACTTATGACTCACTTACTAGTAGACTCGACAGGACAGGAACCATGTCCTGATACTCGTTGGATCCACAGGGCCTGGTAGGCACTGAGTTCTTAATAGACATTTGCTGAGTGGAAGAATGAGTGGATGGGCTCAAGCACCAATTCCTGAGTTGCATCTGGCCCCACTGCCCAGCCATAGGCCAGAAGCCCGTGTCCTGTGGCCTGGAATGAATTAGTCCAATGATAAGAGGACTAACTATGCAGGATCCACCTAATGGATTGTTATGCAACCTATAATGGCTGTGTTGACAATGTCAATAACATATGAGGAAGTGGGGCTTTGACTGGTTTTCTTTTTCCTTTTCTTTTGAGACGAAGTCTTGCTCTGTCGCCCAGGCTGGAGTGCAGTGGCACGATCTCGGCTCACTGCAAACTCCACCTCCCAGGTTCAAGTGATTCTCCTGCCTCAGCCTCCCGAGTAGCTGGGATTACAGGCACCTGCCACCGTGCCTGGCTAATTTTTGTATTTTTAGTAAAGACAGGGTTTCATCATATTGGCCAGGCTGGTCTCAAATTCCTGACCTCGTGATCTACCCGCCTTGACCTTCCAAAGTGCTGGGATTACAGGCGTGAGCCACCGTGCCTGGCCTCTTTTTCTTTTTCCTTTTTTTAATTTTTCTGAGATGGAGTCTCGCTCTGTCCCCCAGGCTGGAGTGCAGTGGCATGATCTCGGCTCACTGCAACCTCCGCCTCCCAAGTTTAAGCGATTCTCCTGCCTCAGCCTCCCAAGTAGTTGGGATTACAGGTGCCCGCCTGCCACTCCTGGCTAATTTTGTATTTTTAGTAGAGGGGGGGTTTCACCATGTTGGCCAGACTGGTCTGATCTTTTTTATTTCCTCTTTTTACTAAATAATCAAATATTTCTTGTGTGAAATGGAAAATAGTCTTCTCCTCAAGTCCCAGTTCAAACGCCATCTTCTCTGGGAACGACCCTGATTTCTCCAACCAGAAACACTCTGGCCTTTCCTGGGCTCCCAGAGCACCTGCCCCTCCCTCTGGTCTCTTACAGTTTCTGCCTTTGGTTATCCGTGTACCGCCAAGGGGCTCTCAGCACCCCGTAGGCAGGACTGCAGACTTCCTGGATGCCTGCACCCCAGGATGTTCATTCCGGCTTAAACCCACCCTCTGTGGGCCGTGTGGGGTGGGAGAGGACAACATACAGGTTTGAATGAGCAGTGGCCTGAATCACAGAGACCACACAGAACTCAAAGTATGCCAGGGCAGAGTATCATGGTCCCCAAACAGACTCCAGCAAGCCTTGGGGACCAGCCTGTGCACACTCACACCTGCTGTGTTACACCTGGCTGGGAAAAGGTCCTGGGAGCAGGTTGTGTGGCTCTAGCCGCAATGAGGCAGGGAGACACGGGTTTGCTGTCACATCACCGGGGGCTGGTGAGTGCAGTTGAGACAGGTGTTATAATCATCGTTTTTTTGCCCAGATGAACAAGGAGAGGGCATTCAGGCATGGTGACCCACCTGAGCCACCTCCAGGGGCAAGAGATGAGCGGATTTACTTTAGAAAGGACGACAGCATCAACCACTGCCACGGCCCCCCAGATCATCTGTACTTGGCTGTCAGAACAGTCCTCCTGAAACGCCAATCACACCTGTCACTCACTGCCCTGCTCCGGACTCTTCAGTGGGCTCCCCAGTGCTCAGCATTCGGCCTGACACTCCAGGCGCCCTGTGCCTTTGTCCCCACCTACCTCTCCATTGCAAATTCTGGCCATAGACCCCTGCACCCCCAAACAGTGCACTCCCATATCAGTCCACATTCTCCCCTTACAACATTTCATCCAAGACCATGGATTCATGGCCTTAAGTTTACTTCTGGTCTGGACTTCTGTGTCAGCTCCAGAGTCTAGTTGTCTCACTGACCCCTTCACTTGGGTGCCAGAGAACACTGGATGTTCCAGACCCCTCGAACTCAATGCATCTAACACCTCCCCCACTACCCAACCCCAGAGCAGCTCCAGCTGCTCCGGTAGCTCTCAACTCTGCCCTCTCTGACTGTGCGTTCAGTCCACCACTAAGTCCTGCTGATTCTACCTTCAATGTTTTTCTTTTCTTCTAGAGACAGGGTCTCACTCTGTTACCGAGGCTGGAGTACACAATCATGGCTCACTGGAGCCTCAAACTCCTGGGCTCAAGTGATCCTCCCACCTCAGCCTCCCAGATAGTTAGGACTACAGGTGCACAGCACCATGCCTGACTAATTCTTACCTTTTTTTTTTTTTTAAAGAGACAGGCTGTTGCTATGTTGCCCAGGCGGGTCTCAAACTCCTGGCCTCAAGTGATCCTCCTGCCTTGGCCTCCCAAAGTGTTGGGATTACAGGTGTGAGCCACCGCACACGGCTTCCAATGTTTCTCTTACCTCTATCCATTCCCTCCCCCTGTATGTCACAACCCTAATCTAAGCCACATCTCCCATCTGGACTACACAAGGGTCTCCCTGCTTCCTCATCTGTGCCCCTATAAGTGCATTCTCACACAGCAGTCAGGGTGATCTTATCTGTAAACTGAATCATGCCACTCCACTGAAGCTGGGATGAAATCCAGGCTTCTAGTTTTAAGGAGCTTCCAGCGGCCAAATCTGGGACAATCTGAGCACCAAAATAATTAAGATTAATAACTAATTGTAAAATTTATTGGAAAATAATAGAAATCCAAGAGTTCCTACGAATAGTGACTCTATAAATAAGTGGACAGAAGAATGCCAAGTGTTGACTAATAAATGTGGAGGGAGTCCTGGGGTTGAGTTACTATTCTGTAACCATCGTGATTCTTAGGCAATAATCATCAATAGGTGTTAGTCTCATCTATTTAACTTTTGATGTGGAATAGGATATAGTCATGGTTATAAAATACCTCCTCATAGATTACTGGTTATAAG